GAAGTGGTGGAGTCCCCATCCCTGGAGATATGTAAAAGACAAGTAGATGTGGCACTTCAGGACATGGTTTAGCGGGCTTGGTGGTGTTAGGTTGATGGTTGGACTTGATGATTTTAGAGGTCTTTTCCAACCTTAATGATGCTATGATTCTAAGAAGGGAACAATCTTGGCTTGGTCCTGGGGGGAACAAAGCAAACAGTCACAGCCTTGGTATGCTAATGCTGGCCAAAAAATGAGGAGAAAACCATTTATCCCAGCTCAGCCTCCCTTCCCCAAGATGCACGGATATGCAGAGAGAGAAGTGAGCCTGCTCTCATACTGACCCGGACCAGCAAGTGTCTGACCAGCACATGCCTCCGCCTCATGGTAGCTGGCAAGGGCTTCTTGCCCCCACATCGTGCCATGGTGTCCAGCACCTCTGTCCTCACTGTGATATTCAATGTTCCTAGCAAATAAATTGAACAGAGCCTGTTTCTTATACCTGTGGCCAAATGGAGTCGACTTGCTTTAACTGATAATGGTCTGAGGTGCTTCAGGTGGCTGGCCCTCATAGCCTCAGCAGTTTGGCCAGTAAAGTTGAGCCAGCCACTACTGATGGCTTGTTCAGACACTCTAAGCATGAGGGAACTAGGTAATGCTTCACCAGCAGTGACTGCATTGCACTACATGTGACTAACAACAGAAGGTCCAGCAGCCCCTTGGACCCCAGTGTCCCTTTCCCATTGGATATGAAGCACAGCACCAGCAATACAAGGTTCCCTCACCCACATGCATGCAGCTCCTTCCTCCCCACAGCCCCCTCTTCAAGAGTTCTCCACGCCACCCATTCAGTTCCTGCCCTCTCTAATGAGCCTAAGGAGAAAGCAAGCAGACACGATGGACCGCTTGAACCACTAAGAACAAACATCAGGATCCAGAGGGGGCAAGGCTCTAACAGCTTCTCTGGACCTTCCACTCCCTCTCACTTCAGTTTTAGGGTTCCCCATCACCACTCCCATTTTTGCTGCCGTACCCAGCTGAACTGCTGTCACATTCCACATGAAGGTCTTGGACTCCTCTGCACACAGACACTCCTTGTCCCTGCAGGTCCAGCACGGCTCCACCTGGAAGTCTGAGGATTTAGCCAGAGCAACATGGATCTGAGGGAATGACAGATGCAGGTGGGTGACTGGGCATTGCAGGAGAGATGGCTTGGCACAACGCACTCTAAAATTGGAGGGCATGGTGGGTCTGCCCCACACAGTGTTACCTGTGGCACAGGCACACACCTGTATGCACTGCTGCAGGTAGTTGAAGACAGTAGCTTTCAACATGAAGGTCTCTCCTCGGATGACAGAATGTGGCAGCGTCACATCCACAAAGAAGGGCTGGACCGTTCTGAGGCTCATGGTTGGAGCAAGGCCAAATCCTCTCCCAGCCAAGCAGAACATCTTGACTTTCCACTCTGCAGCAGCAGCAGGTGCTGTGACTGGGACACTCCTGCTGCCGTTGGAGCTGAGAGGAAGAGAGAACTTGTGTGAAGAAACTCATCCACTCTGCTGCAATGGGGAGGGCTCATGATCCCGAGTGAGGGAAGCTATACAGGTCCTCATGCTTGGATCAACCTCTGCTGTGTTACAACTGACTTCTGCTCCAGTGGCCCACAGCAAGGCAGCTCTCAGCAATTTTTTCCCTAAAGCCATAAACCCTGCTTAGATGCCATCAGTAATGGCTTTATAACCTTCTCCTGAGCAAGACACTGCCTGAGCATTCCAGCTCTGTACGCTCAGTCCACAGAATGATGTCAGTCAACAGCACAATGTTCTGGAAAGCAGCAGCACCATATCCTCCTGAGTACTGATTCATCAGTCTTAATTTAAGCACTGCGGCAACAAGGGCTACAAATTTAGCTGGTGCACCCACCAAATTGAGAGGTTAGTGGAGTGTACCCCAGTGGGTGAAGGGAAGATAATTGGTGGTTTGGTCTGGGAATGTATTGTTCTTCTCTAAACCTGTATAGATTTCAGTTCTGTACCTCACTACAAGTGCAGGAAAGAGCCACAAAATTGACGTGTGGACCTCTCGTTACACCCATGGCTGGACTTTTACACAAATGCAAGTTAGCCAAGACTCAACAACAAAGAGATCATCCTTCTGTCACACAGAATCACCAAATCACAGAATGTTGGGGATTGGAAGGGACCTCAAAAGCTCATCCAGTCCAATCCCCCTGCCAGAGCAGGAACCTAAATGAGATCACACAGGAAGGCGTCCAGGCGGGTCTTGAATGTCTCCAGAGAAGGAGACTCCACAACCTCCCTGGGCAGCCTGTCCCAGTGCTCTGTCACCCTCACTGTAAAGAATTTTCTTCTGAAGTTTAAGCGGAACCTCCTGTGTTCCAGCTCACACCCATTGCTCCTTGTCCTGTCACTGGGCATCACTGAGAAGACCCTGGCTCCATCCTCCTGACATTCGCCCTTAACATATATATAAACATTAATGAGGTCACCCCTCAGTCTCCTCTTCTCCAAGCTAAAGAGACCCAGAAATTTGTGTCCATTTGTGAAAATTTGTGTCCATTTGTGAAATCTGACATCACTTACCCAACAGAGAACAGATTCCAGATCCATGTTTCAGGGAAGTAGTGGCGAAGTCTTCCATGGGTTGTAAACTGTGGTTGTTCCTTAATGATTCTTTGGTCTTCTGTAGAAGGCGCCCCTGAAAGAAAGAGTAAGGAGTCCCACCAGAGTGGGAGAGGTGAACCCAAGCCTAGCACTGGGGCAAGAGGCAAAACAAGTAGTAAGGGGTATGTAAGAAGAGTCTGGCAGAGGAAAACACAAGTGGGCTCATTTGGGAGGAGAGGAAAAATATTAAGGGAAAAGAGGGTGGTAACAAGAGAACAAGATTGGAGTGAGCTGGTTGAAACTTTTCCAAGACTTGGTTAGACAAAGCCCTTGATAACCTGACCCAGAGTTGGTGCTAAAGAGACTAGGAACCTTCAGAGAGCTGTTTGAATCAACGCTTCTGTAATTCTGTGAATAACAATACTGTTTGTTTATCTGCAGAAAACTCATAGAATCATAGAATGATCTGGGTTGGAAGGGACCTTAAAGCTCATCCAGTCCCAACCCCCCTGCCATCAGCAGGGACACCTTCCACTAGACCAC